ACAAGTGAGTTATGATCATTGCCCCGAACACAATAGAAACATTTTAAATCGCATCCCTCAAGCCTAAATAATGTATTCTGTTCATTCCTTACAATGAATATTAGATAAAGATAAAAAGATGTGTTTAATGGTGCACTGTATTCCTTTGTGGATATGTTCCTGTGCAGTAAGGGCGACTTGTGTTCATTAGGCGATTGCTCTACAATATAGATTTAGAATGTATATTCTTTGAATATTCTCTGGAAACATGTTTTCAAATGAAATTACAATGTGAGTAATGATTGCGATATTAAAAAAAGGAAAATTATTTCACGACATTGAACTATTTTTTCCTGATCAAATTTTCCCTGGTTTTAATATGTTTTCCTTGTGTCTGTTTGGGTTTGTTTCTTGTATCCATTTGTGTGAACTAAGATAATGTATGGACAGAATCGTCCTAAGTACTCTATGTAGCTTCATATCTTTGGAATCTTTTAGACTTTACTTATACTCTGGAAGGAGGATAACCCTGTACACCATTTTACAACAAAAGCAAACAAGCATTTTAGAGATTCAGAAATCAAAATAGTACTTTTTTTGCAAATACAATAATGTTTTTTGGTTTGCCAGTCCTACATGTACACTATGCAAATAGAGTTGGGTTTTATGGATTGGTTCTCCAGTGAAGTGCCATTGTCCCATTTAGCGCCTAAACAATAAAAGTTGCATATGGAAATAATTAGGCTTCTATCTATTAGCCCCATTAATGTAATAATCTGTTCCATGGAAATATATAAATACCAAATGTAAAAAGGGAATAATGACAAACTTAATCATCTTCTAAAAAATTAATGGTACTATGTAAAAATCCCTTCACAAAAGGAAACGCTAAGGTATTTTATAAGCATACAAAGAAAAAAAGGTTAGTCAAAGGTAGGCTGGGGCCAATTTGGGCCAACAAGGAAATCTTCTTGTGGAGGCAGAGGGCATAGTTAATGTACTGAATGAGTATTTTGCATCCTCTTCTTTTGTGAAGACAGATGCAGCCAATGCCACAGTATCGGAGGAGAGGGTAGAGAAATTGGATAGGATAAGAATAAATAGAGAGGAGGTACTAAAAAGGTTGACGGTGCACAAGGTAGATAAGTCACCCGGTCCGGTTGATGAGGTTACTGAGGGAAGTAAGGATGGAAGTAGCGGAGGCTCTGGCCACAATCTTTCAATCCTCCTTGGATGCCGGGATGGTGCCGGAGGACTGGAGGGTTGCAAATGTTACTCCCCTGTACAAAAAGGTGCAGAAGGAAAAACCTGGGAACTATAGGCCAGTCAACCTAACATCAGTAGTGGGGAGAACTTCTAGAGACTATAATCCAGGACAAAATAAATTTTCACTTAGAAAAATATGGGTTAATAAAGGACAGCCGACATGGATTTGTTGAAGGGAAATTGAGTCTAACAAACCTAATAGAGTTTTTTGATGGAGCAACGAAGATGGTGGATGAAGGTAGAGCAGTTTATGTAGTTTATATGGATTTTCAAAAGGCATTTGATAAAGTGCCACATAAGAGACTTGTAAGCAAAATAGAAGCCCACAGTGTTTAAAGGGACAGTGGCAGCATGGATACAGAACCGGCTGGGAGATAGAAAGCAGAGAGTGGTGGTGAATGGTTGTTTTTCTGACTGGAGGGAAGTGTGCAGTGGTGTCTCCCAGGGGTCGGTATTGGGACCACTACTCTTTTTGATCTCTGTAAATGACCTGGACTTGAGTATAGGGAGTACAATTTCAAAGTTTGCAGATGATACTAAGCTAGGAAAAGTAGTAAATTGTGAGGAGGATAGGAGCAGACTGCAAGGGGACATAGACCGACTGGTCAGATGTGGCAGATGAAGTTTAATGTGGAAAAATGTGAAGTGCTGCATTTTGGGAGGAAGACTGAGGAGAGGCAATATAAGATGATGGTACAATCTTAAAGGGGGTGAAGGAACAGAGAGACATAAGTGAATATTTGAAGGTGGCAGGACAGGTAGATAAAGCTGTTAGAAAAAAGCATACTGGATACCAGGCTTTATAAATAGGGGCATAGAATACAAAAGTCAGGGAGTTACGATGTACCGTTATAAAACAAGGTTAGGCCTCAGCTAGAGTACTGTGTTCAATTCTGGGCACCACACTTTAGGAAGGATGTCAAGGCGTTGGGCAGGGTGCAAAGAAGATTTCCCAGGATGGTACCAGGAATGAGGGACTTGAGTTATCAGAGGAGGCTAGAGAAGCTGGGATTATTCTCCTTGTAGCAGAGAAGGTTAAGGGGAGATTTAATAGAGGTGTTCAAAATTATGAGGGGATTCGATAAGGTGAACAAGGAGAAACTATTTCCACTGGCACGTGGGTCAGTAACCCGAGGACACCAATTTAAAATAGTTGTTAAAAGAAACAGAGGGGAGGTGAGAATTTTTTCCACATAACGAGTTGTTTGGATCTGGAATGCATTGCCTGAAATGATGGTGGATGCCAATTCGATAACTTTTTAGAGAGAAGTAGATAATTATTTGGGGAGGGCAGTTTGCAGGTCTATGGGGCGAGAGCGAGGGGCAGTGGGATTGATTTGGATAGCTCTTTTCAGAGAGCCAGCACAGACACGATGGGTCGAGAGGCCTCCTTCTGTGTTGTATAATTCTATGATTTTTGTGTCACCATCTTAAAGAGCTCAATTTATTGCTAAATTACTTTTATGAAGGGAGAAGATTAACTCATGTTCTTAGTCCCCTTTCAGCTTTTCATGTTTAAAATTGACCTGTATATCCCCAAAAATTTGATGGAAGATGGAGCATTCCTATTTTGCCACCTTTGTATTTACACCACAGGCCCAAGATGGCAATGCAAATGTAGCCTTTGATTCGTTGCCAAAGAAGAAAAGTAGATGGTGAAATATACTCATTATCTGGACAGGTTAAACATGTATTCTGACATCTAAGACCACATTGCAAAATTCAGATGTTCAACAAAAAATTTAGTCTTACAAGAGGAATATTGTGTACCATTGGAAGGCAGAAGACATATTCAGTTTCTTTCCTCTTTCTCCCTCTTCCTCTCTTCCTTCTTTGTCATTATACACTTTTCTGGATTTATTTTAACTTCAGAAATCACTTTATGTAAAACTTTATAAGGTTTGAACAAATAAGATGTTTTGATCCAATTGTTTGACATTGTACAGGAAAATGCTGAGTGGCAAACTTCCTGATACCAAACTTATAAAAACAAAAAAACATGAATCCTGGAAATAAAATGTAAATGTGTTCTCAACATCTGGAAGAAAAAGAGGACTTATTGCTTTAGAAGTGAATTTTCATGAAAACTCCAAAGAACATACAACACAATGAACTTGGTTTGTTTTCAGCAAGCAGTTTGTGTTCTTGTGAGGAGGCACATTCAATCAGGGACATGTTCTTTTGCCTTGTTTTGTACCTGAAGAAGAGAGAGGGAAAGATAAATTCTAAATAAGTTAATACTTGCATCTGAAATAATACCTTATGTCATAGAAACAACTCAAAGCACTTCACAAGATGTATTGTAAGCTGTCGTGACTGAATCCTTGATTTAGCATGTCATTGAAAGATCGCACCTCCATAATGCAGCACTTTCCCCCCAGCATTGTGTTGGAGTGTCAGCCGAGACTGTGAGTTCAATGTTCTGGCATGGGGCTTGAATCTACAATCTTCTGTCTAAGGCAAGAGTGATTTGAACTATGCTGGATTGACACCTTGAATTTAATTTCAGCAAAATACTCTGGAAAACATAAACTAAGCCAGCAAATGGGGTGAAATACACCCTATTCCAAGTGAATTTAAATGTACAGCACAACTGAAAAACTTTGAGTTTAGATTTCTTTGCCATATGATTTTTTTCCCATGGGACTTTCTCCTGGGCCCCTGGCCAACAATCCCTTCATGTTTGTAGGACATTGTTGTATGCAAATTGGCTGTAGATTTCGCCTACAAATTCATAGTCACTGCACTTAACAATGAAATGCTTTGACAGCTTTGAGAAGTCTCAATGACGTGAATAGGTGCTATATCAAAGGCAAGGATGGTTATTATAATTTTGCTTTTGTTTATCTTAATGTTTTCAGCCAACATAAATCAGTTTTATAGTAGAACTCATAAAAAAGGTACCAAAATGCAATTTGTAAATCAGTCTTTAATGATCAGCCGGTCGGTTGCTTTCTAAATACAGAATGTAACCTTATAAACGCAAATAGTGTACTCTAAGAATTCCTACTCTAACAGAACCATAGTACATAGTGCAGTATTCTAGGATTACAAATGAAGGTGGCAAAGACATAAGACCTTATGGTGATGAATAGGAGAGAAAAAATCAATGTAATTCTGATTGATTTTTATCAGTAAATGTTTTAAAGTCCACTCCCCTATAGTCTTTAATTACTCATCTTGAGATGATTTATAAAGTTCAAACCTGCCAGTTCCTTGTCAGACTTCCAGTGGATGTTCAGTCATTTTGCTTGGCCTCACTAATTGTATAGCAAACAGGTAAGCTCTATTTTCATCAGCAGTTTTTTTTAAAAACAAAATCTCAAGCAACATGCATTCCCAGTAGTGCATATTTCAAATTACAATGTCACCTTTGCAGACTGGAATAGGTTACTCGGAAAGGTGTTTGGTGTCAGAATGTTGGACTAATTTAAAAAATTAGCTTGATTCTATGATGGGAGGACAGTAGGCTGGTATTCTGGAAGGACGAGATCAAATTGATCAAATTCTTCATCCTAATCTCTCTTGCTAAGAGTTTGAAATACTCTATGCACTTTACAAGAGCTGGCTTAAGAGCAGCATTGGGAGACCCCGGAAGAACAGACAACATAGTTTGAGGAAATGGGAGAATTAACATAAAATGGAGAATGTTGCTTTCACAGTGGGGGGTGAGGGAGAAAGCAAATTATACTGCATTGTAACTACTGTACTTGTGTTGTTTGTGTTCTCATTGCATTTAATTTCTTCATTTGCAGGTGAAACCTGCGCAGTTGGTTGAATATTTGCAACAAAAGAAAACCGAAGGGTACACAATTATTGGAGTGGAACAGACAGCCAACAGCCAGGATCTTACACAATACAGGTTCCCAGAAAAAACACTGCTGTTGCTAGGGTGAGTTGCTTGCTAAAAATAATCTTGGCATCAGGTCCCTCAAGCATGCTTCAAGAGCTATGTTTTTGAACCGATAACCAGCTGAATTTAACAGAGAAGTTACTGAACGTGACCCCTTTTCACATCCTTGTGATTTTATAGCAAAAAAAACCTGCTTGGGTTGCAAGATTTTTTTACACATCTTGATGCAAAACAGTTTTTTTCAGGTAAAGCAGTATGAAATGTGTAAAAGCTGAGCACAGTACACCTCATCGATCATAATCTTTGTGTTTATTTCAACTAAATGGCATTTCTATTTTTCCATTGGATCCAGCAAGTAAACCTAGCCGGTAAAAACAAATGGAATGTTCAATCTGTTTGCTCATTATGCATCTCCCTCCCTCCACCTACCTACTTAACAAAAGATCCATACTTCTCGACAGTAAAGGTTTTGTAATTCTCTGAGACTATTTCTCTCCCAGCATAGAAAATGGCCTTCAATTTGTAGGGGGTCATGAAGTAATTGCATGCAGTAAAATGAGTGGAGCAAAGGATTAAGTTGTTTTTAAAAAGATAATCTTCAGCTTTCAGTGCAAATTTATTTGTAGCTTTCACCCACTTGTGATTTTTTTTCAAGCGAGCCATTAACCCCATTAACAGGCATAACATTGTTTTTACTGAAATGCTTTCAATAGGAGATATTATGATTGATTTTGTGCTGTGGCTTGAAGGACCTTTTTAGTCCTATTCTATATTCCAGCAAATTTTTTTTTATTGGATCGAACCTCAAAACTACATTTATGCTATAATTCATAGAGTGAAATGTTGATTGCATGAGGGAAATTATTAGTGCAAAGATAAACATAGGTTGATGGTATTTTGTTTGAAAAGCTATATTTAGAAGTATGCTGGTGTGAGAAGAGAGACTTTGATTATTCATCTTCCAGGTAATTGGATTAAATGTTGCTGGTACAGGACAATATCCTATGCTGATGCAGGAGGTTTTTGCTGGTAACTTGTACTTAAAGTTGAATCATCTTACCCTTGAAGTTAACCTTGAAAATGCACCTCTAATCACTTATTTAAATGAGCAGTATGTTTGAAAATATTTTAGTCTTATGAAACATACCATTGCATTTTTAGCACAGTATTAACTGTTCACCTCTGTGTTGTATAATTATACATTTCAAGTATTGTTGCTCGTGGTCTTCTTCCCAAAGTACTTCATAATATTTTGATATCCACATCATAATGCTGAGGTTAATTGACTTTCATTTGTGTCACTGCATGCATCTGCCATGCATCATGCAGAAAAATACAAAACTCCTTAAAAAGAAATCTTGTATGTTGATACATAATTGATATAAAATTTAAGATTGTTAATGAAATTTTAAGAAACTCTTGATTTACAGTCTTGTAACTCACAACCAACCAGCTGCCTACTATTCTAGTTGTTTTTGGTCAGTCGGGTGTCCAATGTTTGTGGGACACTGCTGTGCGCAATTGGCTGCCGTGTTTCATCCACAAATATACAGTCAATTCACTTTACAGCATATTCTGTGAAGCGCTTTGAGACGCAAGGATTATTATTATGCTTAAGTATGTGCAAACCAAATTGAGTTTCATGCATGCCACCTACATACCTGTCGTCCACAAAATACAGTCAATCCACTTTGCAGGACATCCTGTGAAGTGCTTTGTGACAGCTTGAAAATGTGATATGACACTATACTAAATGCAAGGATTATTATTACATATGGAAATTCCCATATCTGGAATGAAATACACTCTCACCAGAGGGACGGACCCTGCTTACCAAATCCCAAAGAGTATTAGGTGCAGATTGGCAAGAGCCAAGGGTTGAGGACTCCAGAGTGTGTGTTGAAGTACTGATGGAATTTAACCAGCTAAAACTGCATAGCTTACTATTGAAACACTGGCAAGTTTCTCGTTGTTTGTCCAGCTTGGACCTGCTTTGGCTTGCAGAGTTAACGGGAGCTGAGTGGGAAAATTCCCTTCTCCCAGTGTGTCTGCCGCTCTAAGCCCTGCCAATGCCATATTAAGGTGGCTGGCACATCACAAATTCCTGTAAAGGTCCTGCTATTCTATACATTGTGGAATTATCAATTTTTTAAATTGTTTTTATTTGCATCATTTCAGATTCTAACCAGCTCCTGGATCAGATAAGCTGAAACTTTGTCTTTGAGTTGCAAGTGTCACCAGCATGCATGGACTTTCAAACGCTGCAAACTAAATCTATTCCGACAACAGTGGCAATTGCTTCCTGAAAAATTGGGGAGTAGAGAAATTGATCTTTTTCAGGGAATTGCTACACAGAAATGCCTTTTGAATTTCCTACTATCTAAAGTAACTGATGCACAGTGCTATTGATTTGCAGTGTTGTGAGTCAACAACTTGTGCAGATTTTACCTGGAAAACTATCTTGAGGAAACAATCTTGATTCCCAAATCCATTGTGGGTTATCACAAACAAATAAATTGATCCAATCTCACCAAATGAGGCAAAGAGTAATAATCCGGCAAAATGCAGTTAACTCCCAACTTCAGCACTCATCTATTATGTAGTCAAGTCCATTTGTTGTTGAGTAGGGTAACACACCAGGACATGTGTGATGCCCTCACTTTTTGCGACTCGATACTGTTAGAAAACGATTAAACTGGCTTTGTGTACTCTTAAAATAGAAATCATTTATACCACAGATAGATTATATTGCTGGATTTCTGTTGATTTGTCTGATGTATAGGACCCTGTAGCCTGAGCTACAAGATTCACAGGAATCCTGTAGCTCAGTGGTCAGAGCACTCGCCTCGCAAGCGAGATACATAGGTTCAATTCCCAGTAGGGTGAAACCTTGGGCAAGTTTCCTTACTCCACACACCTGATAATAATCCCTCAAGAAAAAAACCCAATAATAAATTGGTCACTTCAATCTACGATTGTTTGTGGGACACCGCTGTGGGCGATTGGCTGCCGCGTTCCACCCACAAATATACAGTCAATTCACTTTATAGTATATTCTGTGAGGCGCTTTGAGAAGTCTAGAAGACGTGAAAAGCGTTATATCAAATGTAAGGGTTTTTTTATTAGATATTTTGTTTGTCTTGTATGAAGAGAGATTTCTGGATCTCAGAGTGGCCCATTCAACACCATATATACAATGATAATGATAGTTTTTCTTTCCCCTTGCCATCACAGCCATGAAAGAATTTACACTCAAGGCAATGATTCTGCCTGGTGGAGGGGAATAATAATGTTCATCCTTGTATTTGATATAGCGCCTTAGTACGTCATCAAAATGTCTTCACAGGATATACTGTAAAGTGGAGTGACTGTATTTTGTGGGAAAGGGATAAATACAATGGAACAATAATTGATAAATCTCAATGTACATTAGTTCATAGGCTCGTTTGGGCGTGTGCCATCTCTAAACTCACTGTAAATGATGGAGTTTTGAACAAATGTTGCATTAACTGTGCTAGCAGGATACATGTCTGGACTAAATTTTAAGATGTATAAATGCATGAGTTGCATTAGGGATTGTCATTGAGAAACTGTATTTAAACAGATGTCTCAAACATCAATGCCTCTATATAAACTAATGGGTAAGATTATAGGTGGGACCATGCATTAAGATTTCAGACTTGGACATTGAGCTTCATGGAAAAGTAAACATTACTGCCTCGAAGAGTTTGCTTTTAATACGGCTTTGCTGAGATAACAATCTATCTCAACAAGAAAATGTTCACTTAGATGTGTAGTGTGTGTATTTTGTTGTAGTAGTGCAATTAGCTTGTATGCATAATGGGTGTTCTTGAGTAGTCTATGGTTTATCAACTATCACAGTGTTGAAAGCATGCCTTCATTTGGAGCAATTTGTCAGTACTGGGTTTAGAATTATAGTTTTTGATGGCAATAGTGTGATTTGGGAAATGAGATGTTGCTTCATTTACTCGACAATCTTTGCTATAAGCAAATTAACCATCTTGAGAGGTAACAACCTTTGATAAAAGGCTTCTCTGTGGATACACAATCTCTTTATCCTCTGAGTTCTTCAGTAATATTTTCAAACGAAAATAAAGCAAGGTTCAAAATGGTTATTTTAAGAATATGTGTATCTGGATAGTTTTCAAACGACTGTGACATTTATTTTTCAAATTTACACCAAATGTATTTTATTTTACAAATGCTGCTTTAAAAATATTGTATGTTTCAAACCTAAGTGTTTCAATACTCAAAAGGTTAGCCTTTTTTAAAAATAAGTTTTTGTTATAATTGCCTAGCTAATTCATTTCACAGGTTTAATTGAGTTAATTGTGGTTCAACGTTTAGGTAACATTTGCTGCAACTTGTCTGGCCGTGCGATAAACAACCTGTGAACTTATACTATTTTCATCAATATTCTGCAATAGTACAAAGAGCAGTACAACATTCAGTTTATCCATCCTGCTCGACTAATGGCCCCACAATAATTAAGACACGAGGCATTCTGCAATGAAATCTCTCACAAAATATATGCTTTCAAGTGATAATTACCTTAATCTTAACCTTAATCGTATTAATTATTATGACATGACCGTGTAAGATACTTTCATTTCAATCTCCTGTCGCTTCATTTTCACGTTTGCCTACAAAATTAGTCACTACACCCTTTCACTATATCCTGTAATAATAATAATAATCCTTGCATTTGATACAGTGCCTTACCATATAATTGAGATGTCACTTTGAGACTTTGTCAAGACATTAAAAGATGCCCGCTCCCTCCGTTCATCAGGCTCTGGCTTGCTCCATGTCTCCCATATCTACCATCGATGGCCGGACTTTCAGCCTCTCTGCCCCCACACTCTGGAACTCCATCCCACGGTCCCTTCGCCTCGCTTCCTCCCTTGCATCCTTCAACACCGGTCTCAAAAACCGTTCTCTTCAACCGTGCCTTTGGTCTCCCTCCCACCTCTCTGCCTTCCCTCACTCCTACACCACCCCTGCCCCATGCTCGGGCC